GGATCTAGGGTTGGACTTTGTGCGGCGGCGGCACCGCTGGGTGGGGTGGGGGGTGGGGAGAGGGGAGGAGGGGAGTGAGGTGTGGAGAGGGCGTGGGGAATAAAAGCGGGTGTGGTGGTATCGAAGGGCGGAATGGGGGGTGCGGGTGGACGCGGTCCACGGGGGCCGCGAAGCGTGGGGGGGACGGACGGCCCGTTTGGTCGCTCGCTCGCGGGGTGGTGTATGGGGCCGGTCCAGTGGACTGCGGGGTGTTTGATTCGGGATGGATTCATTGTGGCTTCGCTTCGCCGCTGGGGCGGTGGAATATGTTCCCGTTTTTGCTCGCTCTCGTTTGGTAAACTTTTTATTTCTTTGCTTTTTTTTGGAAGGAAATGAGGCCGACTCCAGCGCGCGACCGCGACCCCATCCTCTCCGGGTGTATCCCTTTGGAATACATAAGCTAAACGTAGGCAGATGCCTCATTGGAATCAAAAGATATGTTTCAAAACAAACACAATAAGAAATTCGCTTCTTGCTAGTCACGAAGACAAATCCACTACAATGCCTTAGCCTGCATCATAAAAATTACGGGTGCCCCTTGGCGTTCTTTCTTTGCTGAGATCCTCTTCGTCGGCTCGTACTTGTTGCCTCATTTTTTTAAGGACCACATTCATAAGTTAGTACAAGATTCTTGTAAGAGCACATCTTGTCTGTTTTCTACAAGGATCAAGTAGCATGAATACACATTTTTGATTACTAACCTCAAGCAGATCAAGACCATTGGCGTAGAGATAGTTTGGACAAGTTTTAGTGAGAGTACTCATGCGAGTTTGAGAACTTGCATACTCTTGGACATACATCATTGTTCAGAGTGCCCGGGAACATAGCATTCAAAAACCAAGATAGTCCATCTACATTTCATACCTAATACTAATGGCCATCGATAAGACAAGTAACATGTGACAAGGTGTGTGGCACCAAGGACCTCGGGGGGGCCATACCATATAGTATGGATCTGCGAATAAATTAGATGTGTCACGAATAGACCAAGGAAGGGAATTGTGCAGAATCAACCATCGTTAGGTGCAATAATGTTAACAAAACCAGTTGGAAATTTTAGTTGCTCGATAAAATCCACTGGAAACTAAGCACCATAAGCCCTGACCAAGCTTCAAATTTTCAAAATTGCCTCGGGAATATTGTAAAAATATAGGTCCACATTCTCCAAATTCAGAGGCATGCATACTCTCTAATTTTCTTGGTTTTGTTTATTAAATGTTTTGTATAACATGACAGTGAAGTACACAGTGAAAGAAAATACAAGACTCCAGACCAGAAGAAAGAGAGTGTAAACATCAACATAAAACTAAAGAGTATAGACATTGTGAACCAAATTGGACAATATATCGATGTCCTATTGGTAAGGTACCGCATTACAACTAAGAATATGTATCTCTTTGGAGAACACATACGACATTATTGTAAATCAAACCAAAATCATGGTAGAAAAAAGTGAGTGAACTATGAATATTAGTTGCACAACTTTTATCATTCATGGTGTATGGCCAATACCTCTGCATCACACTACATAAGCTTACCTTCCTATTATCGTTGGCATATAGATTTAGGTAGATATCGCCAATGCAGTTGCAATATATGGTGCATCCAACAACAATGTGTACAAAAACTTCTAGTAAACAATGATCTATCCAGCATCAATATATGACTGGATTGAGAATTAAAAAATAATAAGACGGAGAAAAAAGAGCAATCAAGGGGGATTTACATCAAATGCGAACAAATAAAGAACATTTTGTGCTCACTTTTCAAGTTATCACATATCCCCTCAACCGCATTATATGGGTATCATTTGTGCCAACCAAAGTGAGAAAATAAAAGGGCACACTATAGTTTGAGAGGATAAAATCAGTATATTTGCGCAAGCTAATTGGGACAGAATAATGCAGCTATAGTTTGATTGTAGTAGGAACTCCTCTCTAAAAGGACAAGTATGGCACTTGAGCACTCTATATAGGGTGATCAACAGACTTGAAAGTCCTAGAACATTCATCAATAAACATGGTTAAAGATGTAGTTGGTGTGGGCACGTGATGAGCTTGTGGAATCAAAGTAGACACAGTAACGAATGTCATTGCATCCATATGTTTTCTCTTGATTCAATGTTTTATAGAAGAAATAAGAGAGAATATAGGTGAGGGAATAAGGGAAAGTGTTGTGTAACACAACATTCTTGGTTGGATGAGGTTCTATTCACTTAAATTATGCACTATTTGCTGGTCCGTTCGCCCGCAATGGACTGGAATGTTCACAATTTCAACAAAATTTATGAAAAATTGGTAATTTTGGTTGGTGCCTAGATATTTGTAATGTTGAAATGCTAGGTCAAACTCATCAACCAATTTTAAATTAATCCCAGTTTTGTTGACTCATCAAATTTTGGTAGGTTGAATTTCAGAAGAATGATAACTAGGTGATGCTAGCAGGACCACCTAAGGCAATGAGGTTCCTATATGTATGACTTGCCAAACCAACTGAGCAGATACCTTTATTTGTTGATGATCATGAATAAGAAGAATCATAACTGGTGTGATATGAGCATGACCAATCTAAGGACTTGTGCATCACTCCCTTTTCGACCATAATTATGATTAGAGTAAAATACACCCTAGATCCTAAATTTATTCATGGTGTGTCAACTAGGTCCTAAATGTTTAAGAATGCATGTGTGAATCCTAATTGTTTTTAAATACCCCCATTCATTAGTTACTTAAAATGTTATTACAATCCTTCGTTACAGCATACACCACGAAGGGTGGAAAACTATTACGAAGAGCACCATCCGATCTAGTATCAAAACTATACTTCACAATATCATGCGCCATCCCATTGGCCAGGTGGTTAATTTTAAAAACTTTAAAATTCTGAAGCAACTTGGAAATGGTTAGAGCCTCCTTATTCAAATCAACAAGAGGGGCCAGTCAAGTTTTTCACTTGCAAGGAAGAAAGCAATAAAAGCACAACTAGTCCAACATAGAGACCGTCCAGGCAAGCCCGAATCTCGGCTGCATTCACACTGCAATTCCGCCCAATGAAATCCCATGGAGATGATGACATCGTCGGAGAAAATCCTAGCAACAAACCCATGCTCGTGGCGCCAATGCTCTCCACAAAACTGACATCAAGGTTGATCCTGATGTAATCGGGCGGGGGAGGTTGCCAAACCATGGTCAAATAACGGAGCAGTGGTGAACTTTAAACCATATGCCTTTCCCTTCCCTTTGTTGTTTGAATCCACCTCAACATCAAAAAGATTGGACGAGAAGGATGATCAATAATTACCCGCAAAAATTGCAGAGCAACAACAGATTCCCGACCCTTCCCAAAATCAAGTCATTTCACAAGGGCCAAGCTATCTAAAATATAAATAAAGTTTGCTTATAGTGCTACAAACTTACTTGATCCAACCAAACAAGCAACCAATCCAACTTGATAATTTGAAAACCTCTTCCCTGGGAAATCGCAAACGTCCCTCAATGCCACACACAGCGCACGAGCTTTAGGACAAGTCATTGGAGCATGAAAAGTGCTTTCATCTTCCACACCACAAATATAGCTAATGACCCACGGTATATGGGTTCACGATAGTCTTCGAGGGTAGTATTTTACCCAAATTCATTGATTCCACACAAGGGGAGCCAAAGAATATTTACAAGCCTTAGCAACTGAGTCATCAATTCGACCACACCTAAGAAGTTGTTTCTCTGCAACAAAATATTAGTAGCACAATAATATGATAGTTTCGATAGCAGTGGTAGTAGTAGCAGTTGGAACAACAGTAGTAGTAGTAGTAGTAGTAGTAGTAGTAGTAGTAGTAGTAGTAGTAGTAACTTAGCAAAGGCAATATGAGCAATGCATAAGCATGGAGTAGCGATGGATATTTGGATAGAATTCATCATGTAACAGTCAGAACCTAGAGCAATACACAAGCTCCAATTCATCAATCACATGTAGGCATGTATTATGTATATAGTCATACATGCTTATAATAAGAACTTGTAAAACATCTTTTGTCCTACCCTCCCGTGGCAGCGGGGTCCTAATGGAAATCTAAGGGTAATTAAGGTGCTCCTTGTAATAGAGCACCGGAACAAAGCTTTAACATTAAGTGAAT